CTTTCTTTGCTAACTCTTTCTTTGCTCTTTCTTTGACTAACTCTTTCTTTGCGAACTCTTTCTTTGACTACCTCATATATCCTGACTAACTCTTTCCCTGACTAACTGTTTCTTTGCTAACTCTTTCTTTGACTACCTCTTTCCCTGACGAACTCTTTCTTTGCCTAACTCTTTCTTTGACTAACTCTTTCCCTCACGAACTCTTTCTTTGACTAACTCTTTCCCTGACTAACCGTTTCTTTGCCTAACTCTTTCTTTGACTAACTCTTTCCCTGACGAACTCTTTCTTTGCTAACTCTTTCTTTGACTAACTCTTTCCCTGACGAACTCTTTCTTTGCTAACTCTTTCTTTGACTAACTCTTTCTTTGACTAACTCTTTCTTTGACTAACTCTTTCCCTCACTAACTCTTTCTTGACTAACTTTTTCTTTGACTAACTCTTTCTTTGACTAACTCTTTCCCTCACTAACTCTTTCTTTGACTAACTCTTTCCCTGACGAACTCTTTCTTTGACTAACTCTTTCTTTGACTATCTTTCTTTGACTAACTGTTTCTTTTGACTAACTCTTTTCCCTGACTGCGCCTACTCGGTAAACACGGTACTACGGGGTCATGAGTATAACTCTTTCTTTGACTAACTCTTTTTCTTTGCTAACTCTTTCTTTGACTAACTCTTTTTCTTTGCTAACTCTTTCTTTGACTAACTCTTTCCCTCACTAACTCTTTCTTTGACTAACTCTTTCCCTCACTAACTATTTCTTTGACTAACTCTTTCCCTCACTAACTCTTTTTTTGACTAACTCTTTCCCTGACTAACTGTTTCTTTGCTAACTCTTTCTTTGACTAACTCTTTTTCTTTGCTAACTCCTTTCTTTGGAACTCTTTCTTTGACTAACCCTTTCCCTCACTAACTCTTTCTTTGACTAACTCTTTCCCTGACTAACTCTTTCTTTGACTAACTCTTTCCCTGACTAACTGTTTCTTTGACTAACTCTTTCTTTGAATAACTCTTTCCCTGACTAACTGTTTCTTTGACTAACTCTTTCTTTGACTAACTCTTTCCCTCACTAACTCTTTCTTTGACTAACTCTTTCCCTGACTAACTCTTTCTTTGACTAACTCTTTCTTTGACTAACTCTTTCTTTGACTAACTCTTTCTTTGACTAACTCTTTCTTTGACTAACTCTTTCTTTGACTAACTGTTTCTTTGACGAACTCTTTCTTTGACGAACTCTTTCTTTGACTAACTGTTTCTTTTTCTTTGACTAACTCTTTCTTTGACTAACTCTTTCTTTGACTAACTCTTTCTTTGACTAACTCTTTCTTTGACTAACTCTTTCCCTGACTAACTGTTTCTTTGACTAACTCTTTCTTTGACGAACTCTTTCTTTGACTAACTCTTTCTTTGACTAACTGTTTCTTTGACTAACTCTTTCTTTACATTCTAAAAGTCCGTAACACGGAAGTTTCTCCCACTAAACTTCCTTTGATAATATATATAATATATATAATATATATATAATATATATATAATATATATATTTAATATATATAATATATATATATAATATATATATAATATATATATAATATATATATATATATATGGTACCCCCCCCCTGGTACCTACCTTTCCTTGATTTATACTGTAAATTACAGTATAATTTGCTTATTTTCATATGTTGAATTTGATAGGTTTTTTATATTGAGTTTCTTGAGACATGAGTTCAGACTTGAGTTCAGACTTGACTTCAGACTTGAGTGTCATAGTCTCGATTCCTGCTACCCAAGATCCAAGATCCAAGATTTCCAGAAAGCTTTTTATATTGAGTTTCTTGAGACATGAGTTCAGACTTGAGTTCAGACTTGACTTCAGACTTGAGTGTCATAGTCTCGATTCCTGCTACCCAAGATCCAAGATCCAAGATTTCCAGAAAACTTTTCTTGGATGCACTTGCAGAATCTTGGATGCACCCAAGATCCAAGATTCCCAGAAAATTTTTCTTGGATGCAGGCTGGAAATCTTGGATGCACCCAAGATCCAAGATCCAAGATTTCCAGAAAACTTTTCTTGGATGCACTTGCAGAATCTTGGATGCACCCAAGATCTGGGATCTTGGGTTTATCCCAAGATTTCCAAGAAAAGTTTTCTGGAAATCTTGGATCTTGGATCTTGGGTGCATCCAAGATTTCCAGCCTGCATCCAAGAAAAATTTTCCGGGAATCTTGGATCTTGGATCTTCGGTGGCAGGCTTTGAGGCTTGAGTTCAGACTTAAGTTCAGACTTGAGATCAGTGTACACATGTGTAGACAGAAACTCTCCGACAAACAATGTCCGTGTGCCTCGGTCTGAGCTTCGCTCTTGGCTTGTTGAGATCTCGTATCCTCGTGTCATCGCATCCGGCCTCATGTCGATCCCCGTTGCCGGAAGTGTGCTTCTGCGCGACAATCAGGCCGTTGTTGTCTTGTCGGTGGCACAGGATGGCGCGGCGGCTCCTGGGGGACCTGGTGGGGGACCTGCAGACAACCTACAAATGCTGCTGAATCAAGTCCTCGCCGGGGACCATGCAGTACATGAAAGTAGACAACCACTTGCGCGAAAGCACCTAGCGGCAATGGTCTGCAACATTCAGAAAGGACTCCGACTGGCCCCTGTCGGATCGCTGGGCAGCTGGAGTCCTGACGCCTCACGAAAGCTCCTACATGCCCTGGCTCTCCCCAAAGTGATCCGTCCCAAAAAGGTGACTGCCACAGCCTCCCAACCTGCGCCTCGGCTGATGGGACTTCAGAACATGTGTTCCATGTCTTGAGTACACTAACACTCGTTATTTTCTCGGGGCCGAAGTCGCCTTACGTACTTTGGTTCTCCGCGCGTGATTATACAGTTACGAAGACATGTTCGGTATGATCATATGCCTTCTGTCATTTCTCGCTCTCTCAGGTCTTGCAGCTGACGAATGGTACTTCATCCTCGTCGACGTCGTCCACGTCTGACTCTGACTCCTCGTCGGCATCAGAAGAAGAGCAATGGCAAGGAGTACCGAACCCGTCTTTAGGCGTTGCACCTGAAGTTGATACTGAGTACGAGTACGTGCCCAACCCAGCCCTCAACATTGCCCCCCCCTCGCCTGTAGGTGGCGTCGTGGACAGTCCAGAGGAGGTTGCAGGACCCAATGGGAGCGCAAGTGTGGCATCTTGGAATGAGGGTGTGCTGGGTGCCGGCAGCGCAGGAGAGCAGGACAACGGGCAGACTCTGGAACGTCCACTGAAAATCCAGAGGTGCAGCTTGTGTCATGACTTTGATGATTTGTTGGAGGCGTATCTTGAAGCGGCGGACGAGTTGGAGAAAACACAGCAGAAAGTGTTGGAGTTGCAGGCCATGTTAGCATCGCAGCAGAACCGTACAGGATAGAGGGGTCTGCTTCGAGCCTGCGAGAGCGGCTGAGCCAGAGACATCGGCGGCGGATGAAAAAGATTGCGCATTCGCGAAGACACGGAGCACGATGCAAGACACATTGCCATGTAACCTTTGAAACAGGGAAGGGGAAGGTGGGAGGATAAGTTCGAAGTGTAGCAAACTTAATAAGTTTAGACTTGGTTTCAAACTTGGTTTCAGACTTGGTTTCAGACTTGGTTTCAGACTTGATTCCAGACTTGAGTTTATACTTAGTTGACTGTGTCTGCCAGCACTCGTCTGCTTCGTTCCCATTGCTTCTGCATATCCATCTCTTCTGCAACGCTTCTACGCTCATAGTATCGTGCCCCCTCTGTGCGCCTCGCTGGGTCTAGTCTCTCTGTGTCCTCACCATGGCGACTGAGATCATCGATGAAGCGATGCGGGTCTACGGTGGGAAGCAGTGGCGCTTTGAAAGTTTGGCGGCCCCGCGCTGTGAATCCAAAACAAGTGCCAGCATCGAGAACCCCATGAGCATATCTGACTTCCTCTCTTGCTGTCGTCCACTCAATGGTCTCAGAGCAGCTACAATGATGTTAGTGGATGTGCAGCAGGATGTGGAGAATTGTGGTTCTGCCGAAAATGTTGCAGCGGTCTGCCAGGAGCAAAGGATCGAGAGTCTACCAGCTGCATTGCAGTTTGCTCATGCCTTACCAGCTCACTCAAAGGTTGGGTGTATTGCCATGGAGAAAGGCCACGGGAAATTGGATGTAATCAAGCTTGTGACTTTCCAAGACAAGATGGCGATTAGGGACGCCACGAAAATTCCTGCAGGATCTGCCTACGTTCCTTTCTCTCGTCCAGGTCCGTGGGCTGTCAAGAAGGCTTTCCAATCCTTATTGGACCGCCTGCCTGGACATCATGTGCACTGGGGCACAGTGACGAGATGGGAGGCACAAGCGAAGAATAGTGCAAGCTCTTCATCGACATGGTCCCCAGACACTGACACTTTACTCCAAGGCGTGGCCTTTATCAATGACCATGCGCCTGAGACGGATGCCAACAATGAGCAGTATACATGGATTTTACTCAACATCCGAGAAGATGCGGAGAGTCCCATTGCTGGTTGGCCGTTGGCCAGAAGGCAAAGTGAGGATCATGGCACAAAACAAGTCCAAGGCTTCCAATGGTGCCACATTGCAGAAGGGCTTCCCCTTGACCACTTGCTGTAGTTTGCCCGAGTGAGAAATTATAACGCAGCACTTTGTGCAAAGCCTTCATAGCTTCATCCTTTTGAACCCACCCTCCCTCAAGCATGTGACCGTGATTCGTGCAAAGTACTTGCTGTAGTTTGCCCAAGTGAGAACTTGTAACGCAGCACTTTGTGCAAAGCCTTCATAGCTTAATCCTTTTGAACCCACGCTCCCTCAAGCATGTAACCCACATGGTTCTTGCAAATGACTTGCTGCCAGCACAGATGTAGTTACGAAGAAAGGAAGGAATTAACAGTAAAAAGTAGGTATCAGGGGGGGGGTTAGCATATATATATATAGAATATATATATATATTACATGAATGATTAGGTGATGTTAGGTGTATACTTAAATGTGTATCTGTGCAAAAAAAGCATCCATGCTCATCTTCCGGGGACTCTCAGGGTGGTCACAGCTGTATCATTCCTGCACGGCAAGAAGATGGTTCATCGAGATATCAAAAGCACCTCGGATCGTCCCAAGGTTTTCGGCGATCGTCCCACGGTCATCGTGGTTTTCTGCTTTTTTATGTGGCTAAGAAGCCGGTTTTTTTGGTGGACAATTATGGGCTTATTCCATTTATAACTGGGAACGACCTATGGTTGAAGTTTTTGTCGATTCGTGGGATGATATCCTCCAAGTAACCATCATTCCTGCGAACATCAACCGACAAAAATTTGCGATTCAACCTCCCAAAAAATGGGCATATCCGCAAATGATGGTTGGTTTATGGCGACAGTTGTGGTTGTACACTCAGAGGCTCAGTTGGATACCTCAATCTCTCACTTGCTATCCCTTCATTTGCCGGGGTTCACCACGAATTATGTACTTCTTATTTGTATCACAACTCTTCAATAGTTTTGTCCCCCGAGTGTATACCATAATTTGCCCTTAAGCAAGGATTGTGGTATTACCACCTTTTATGATTTACACTTGATTTTCCAGTGAGATCTTTGCGGAACTACCTATCCAACTAAATGATGCTTTAAAATGCTTCAAATCGCACAAATGATGGTTGATTTTCTTGGAAAAATCTCAGTTTGTAGTGATCCCCACCAAAAATTGGGTAGGGGTCAACCCCCGTCTTCTGTGTAATAAAAAGATGGGTCGAAATCAGGGTATCAGATCCGAATCCGCAACAACTTGGCGATTTTTAGTATCCCATAGGATCCATGGTGCTGGTATATATGCTAACATAAAGGGGGTATATTGATGGTAAATGTTACCATATATAGCAGCACCATGGATCCTATGGGTATGAAACCCTCACATGCCCGCTATAATTTGGGTGGTTGATATTTTTCACCCACACCCACAGGATCCCACAGGGCTGTTCCGTAGCTATTATAGGTATATGATAGCCACAAGGGGTGGAAATGTCCCCGTTTTTCCCCTTTTATGTGGGGTGTTGGGAGCAAAGATTTAATTCACCAAAATGGTCATTTAACCATGACATCAATGAAATGTGATCAACAACAATGATGGTTTACCATCAAAAATGGGATATCTACCTCAATATCAACCTTTTTTTCATGAAATCAAGAACCAACCATCGTTTATATCAGTAAATCCCCATCGATACCATCCCGTGTCATCAAAGGTGGCGATGGAACATCATGGAAAATCACCCATTGAAAGATCCATTTTTAGTGGATTCCCCAGCCAGGCTTGATGACACCGGAGGGTATATACTTGGTGATAGATACTCTGATGGTTAGAGACCAAACGTCATAATCTTAGAAACTGAGTTAATAGTTAGATACTCAATGTCAATTTCATTCAATTTCCATAGTTGAATCCTATAAATCCTCAATTTCCCCATATGTTTGCTGCTTAACCCCCCAAAAAAATCCTGCCGAAAGAGGTAGCAACATCTTGTTGGACCGCATGCGACGCCACGCACGCTTGGCCGACTTTGGTCTGGCCAAGGACCAGGTAGACGTTGTACGGTGGTTTGGTCATGGGAAAAATGGGGATGTCAAGCATCAATGGATTGGTTTAAGGGAAAATCTACAGGAAACCATGGTTTTTACCATCAAATATAGGGGTTTCCGGTTAAAATTTTCCCATCATCCAATTCTATGTCAAGCATCAAAAAAAATATAATGCTGCGAACATGGGGATTGTAACCACCCAAAACCGTGAGAAACATTGGGATTCGATGAAAAACTGGTTGGTGGTTTCAAACATTTTTTATTTTTCCATATATTGACAATAATGGTTAATAATGGTTAATAATGGTTAATAATGGTTAATAATGGTTAATAATGGTTAATGTCTGATTATTGGTTTGGAACCATGGATTTTTTTGACTTTCCCATCATATTGGGAATAATCATCCCAACTGACAAACTCATATTTTTCAGAGGGGTAGGGCTCAACCACCAACCAGTTATGGAAAAAATAACCTCCATCGAAAATTGCCTGGTTGATGGGTTCATTTCTTGGGGATTATACTAGCTAATGTATTGGCAGTTATGATAACCCGTCATTAGTGGGGAATCCAAGATGTATTGTTAATGGCTCAAGTTTCAAGCATCAAACATGGTGGGAAAAGGCGGAGTAAACAATTAAACATGTGAAAAAATGTGGATTATAGCCATCCAAGATGTGGGAAACATGTCGGAAATTTGGGATTCAATGCAGAACACGGGGATGTATATGTGCTTTATGATAGCTGTTGTTGAAATAGCTCGTACTTCACTGTTGGGTTTATGGTAGATATATCCAACAATAGTCCATGGGTTGGAACTAAAGGAAGAAACATAAGTGCGCGGCACCACGCTGTAGGAACACGCAGAAAGATCCAGAAGAAGTGAAGTTCACCGCTAGGATTGGATTTATCACTTGTTTGCATCGTTGTTTGTGTTGTCACAATAAAACTACATGATCCAATATGTATTTGTGTATGTAACCACTTATCCAGTTGGTACTAAGTTAGCACATGGCCCCAAGAATCTGGGGTTGTAAGTGTTCTAACCCAAGTTCTTTGGGTTTATATACTAATTAGTTAATTTGATCGTAGATGGTTTACATTTTTTTGTTTACAGAATTGGGTCTGAAAATTGCTGATTAACCTCCAAGACTCCAAGAGTCATGGCATCAAGTTGGGTGAATTGATGATAAACCATTGGATTTGGTGGGTGTGTTTACCCTGTTCAGACAACATACCAAATCCATTGGATGATGTTGACCTATGACACTTGAAAACCATTCATTCTCTAAAATTGGGCATGTCAAAGAAAACCTGGATAAATGGCTTAGTGGCTTAGTTTGCACCAAATGGCTGGATATCCAATTCTTGCTGGGACAAGCATTGGGGATATGTCTATAAACAGAGTGATGATCATCCAAAAGTATTAGTCATTTGGACCTTAAAACCAGGGTATACCGGGTTTTTTTTCCATAGTCATGTTGTTCATGACGAGAAGTTGACTAAATTGTGTGTTTTGTTGAAGATTTGCTGTGCCAGATGAAGATCCATATTTGTTGGTGGAGACTCCATTGTTCTTCTGCATTGACCAGTTTTAGTATGGGAGCCATACCCGTTTCCTGGTACCAGCATTTTTGAGCAATTAATCCCCATCATTTCATACTGATCCCCACCAAGATTGTTTCAAAAAGTGCAGATCACCTTCAAAACAGTAGGGATTACCTGTTATTCGTTACCTTTTTTTCCATGTTATTTTTTGAGATGGTAAGACCCATCACCAAGGGTTTTGGGGCTATAATCACCGATGATAAGATCTCTCTGCGAAGCAGGTGAAGGGTTCTGTGCATGGGACTACTGGCATCGTTGCATCTTGGTGTGGCATTTGAAATGGGCAGAAAAAAAACAACATGGGGTTGGGAGGTTTAATGTGGTTTTATGTGGTTTTGATCACACTAAACTGGTTGGTTTCTTCCATATACCTGCACCGTGTTTATGGTGTTTTTTGTGCGGTTTTTCATGGTCTATACAATCTATACATGCACCCTCTGGTAATCAAACAACATGGCTGGCTGGGAAGTCCCCTGTAAATGGATGTTTGACTGGGAAGCCATCTATACCCTCTGGTAATGTCAAAATAGCTATTGAAAATGGCCATTTATAGTGAGTTTTACCATGAAAAATGGTGATTTTCCATAGTTATGTTAGTTTACCAGAGGGTACATTTCATCATTTTGGACATTGCCCGTTGGCATGTTTGATAGATGGTACACAGATCAGTAATGAAAATAATGCTGATGAATGATGCTATTTATATACAGCCAAGCGAGTTGCAGGAAGCAGTTAAACTGATATTCAGGCTAGCCAACAATATGGCATGGGTGCCTCTGCAAATGGGACACCTTTAAAAAAATACATGATCATTCAAAAAATGGGAATATAGTGAACCAATGGATTGACAATCTATCTGAATCTAACTGACTACCTCTAACTATAGCCATCTAGTATCCGACTAGCATCAATTATCTAAGATTATGTCATTAAATATTAAGTATCTAACTATCAACTCGTAAGAATCTACTGGCTAACTAGCCATCTAAGTATCTATCTTTACCTATCTACAACAAACTCCGGTATCATCAAACGTGGCTGGCTGGGAAATCCACAAACTAAAGAAATGTGTGCAATTAGCTGGGAATATCATCTATATATATATATATATGTAACTAACTATATAACTAACTGACATTAAGTGAGCATCAACTGACATCAACTGACATGTCTGACTGTTTCTATGTATTTTTGTGTTTTTTTTTCCATACATACATCCATACATACATCCACACATACGTTATGTATCTGTGTATATACATATATATATATATATAGATTCGATGTATGATGTGTGTTTGTTCACATATAGTGACCGACTTGCATTTTGGAGTAAACATAACCCCAAAAAGGTTCTAAGTGTTGGGTTTTTCGTTTTTGCAAAAATCAACACTTAGAACCTAAAATTGGAAGGGGTTCTAAGTGTTTGATCAAACATTTTGGAAAACATTTAGAGGTTCTAAGTGTAAGTCGGTCGCTATAGTCAGATTCGCTTTCCTCGCAGCAGGTGGGCTCCCCCGGCTATATGGCTCCGGAACTCATGATGCGCCCGGCCAACGAGAAGACCGATGCCTTCGCACTGGGCATTGTGCTGTGGCCCGGCATGGAGATTCGTTACCAAATATCCCAGACGCAAATATGGAAGATGTTTAGGAGAAAATAAAAATGGAACGGGATATGAACCGGAAAAGAAAGATGGTCATTTAATGGGACTTAATGAGATATCAATGGGGATATACAATGGTAAAAATACTTGATTTTCCTACTAAAACTTTCGGTTGATTACCAGAGGGCAAATGATCAACTTTGGGACTTCACATGTTAACATGTCTTTTGTTCCAGGGATTTGCAAATGGAAAATGATTGGATCCATTCGCAACGAAAGTGGAGGAGGTTTGAACAGCAATCATCCAACAAGAATCTGGAATCAGACAAAACAAATTACGAATTCAACGGGGGAATCTTACCAACTAAATTGCGGGTTTCTCCGGGAAACACAGCGGAACTGTCATGTGCGTGTTGAAGCTGAGCAGGGATTCAAGGCGGGAAGCTAACGAAATTATGTCAAATGGGCAGCGAATCAGACCAACATCTTCCAGAAGTATACCTTATTTCACTACGAGCAGAATGGGGTGCCCCATAAATAGATGTGTGTGTGTGTGTACCATCTGTATAGATGTAAAACTTCATTATACTGCAGGGGCGCGCCTTCTGTTGCTAGTTACGCCATGTCGGCTCCTCCCCCACCGCCTCCAAAAGGTAAGGGTAAGAGTGGCATGTCTGGGGCAACTGACGCCCTTCGTGCACTCGCTGGACTTCAAACTACGCAAGAGCAGCAGACAGCAGTTGAGGCAGCGCAGAAAGCCTGCACATCGAAGCGGCACGCTGAGGATTGACCTCTGCGTTGTTGAAGAGCAACATCAGTGAGCATGTCCCAGTTGCTCTCACCCAGTTTGGTAGGAATGCCTTCCAGGCAATCCTGTCAGCTATGGTGGCTTCAGCAAAGTATGGCGTCAACCGGACCATTCCATTCCTCTATGCAATGATGGATTACTTGGTGCTGATTGGAGTGATCTCCTAGCAGTATTCTCAAGATGCCACTCTCCAGACGATGGAATTTGTCAACGGAGACCATCAAGGCTATCCTACGGCAACGGAGCGTGCAGACTACACAAACGCCTTCCACAACTCTAAAGTCTCCATGCGTGTGGCACTCATGTCCTGCCACACGCAACGAAGCTGTGGACATGAGTGGGAAGGGAAACGTGGCCGGATTCCTGTACCTGCAGCTTATATATATATATGTGTATATGTATATATATATATGTATGTATATATATATATATGTATATACATATATATATATACAGTCCCGCCCCTGGGCGCATTTACGTCGCAGCTGGGGGGGCATATAATTTATCGCTATTGGTTTATATGGTCAACGTCTACTGTGATTTTACGTCTTTATATTTGTATGTGTATATATATTTTTTTTTTCATCGTGTCAATTAATCGTTGGTGTTTTTGCACGGCAGATGCATTCCACAACAAAATTCGCACTGACAGTTCTGAGCAAGTGTGTGGCGGCATTTTCACTCTGTGGCTGTAAGGGTGTGTATATATATATATATAACGTTCATCATTCAATTCATTCTATTTCGTGGAGAACCATCCGGGCTTTAGGAGTGTCCGCAGCAACGAATCCAAAATTGCCACAGGGCATATTTGGCTGGTGGTTTCAGATAGCTGTTAGTCTTGCATTCGTAGCTGGGAAAACGGTTTCACGTTGACCGGTATTCCTCAAGGGGGTTCAATCACCAACCAGTTGCAGCATTATTGCTGGTTGGTGGTTTGGAACATGAATTTTATGTTCCATGATATATGGGATAATCCTTCCCAACTGACTTTCATATTTTTCAAGATGGCTAAAACCACCAACCAGTATTGCTTCCCACCGTCATATTTCTTGGTTTACATGCCTCCTTTGGTACATTCCCAACCTCCCAAAAGATAGAACAGTTGTTAATCCCAATCATCACCCAGGTGATCAAAGTACAATACAGTATTTCTCCTAAAATCCACCTTGGGTGGAATTAAAATGAATTACCCTCTGATAGCGATCTGGAAAATCACCTTTTGGAATAGGTAAATCAATTGTTAATGAACCATTTTCAATAGCTATGTGACAAATTATCAGAGGGTAAAGGGAAAGAAATTGGAGGTTCTACTCGTTGATTCTCCCCCACCTCGAAGGTTAGAGATCCTGACAGGGCAAGGTGCATGGAACGAGGTGGGACCAGGGGCCGCAGATGGAGATGACGGGCTGCTGTTATGTTAGGCGAATCGGGGGATCCATGGTGCCATATATGGTAACATAGATCCCATCAATATACCCCCTTTATGTTAGCATATATACCAGCACCATGGATCCTATGGGATATAGTTACCCTAGTTACATAGTTTCATAGCTTTAAATGTTAACCGTTTTTGATGGGAAGATAGACTACTGGATCCCGAGGACCATCGTTCAGGGGTTGATTCATGTGGTACACTGTGGTGCCCCCCTGTTTTGTTGATTGGTTTTGGAAAGCCCATGAAAAGTAGTTCGAAAAATATATCCGCCATAAAACCCAACAGTGACATACGTTGGTTATTTCAACCAACTTACAACTATATCATACAATAAATCACAGTTTTTAACTGGCCCTGAGGCTCCGAAGTGCTATCCATAGACGCGTTTGCGGAAAAAACACAAACATGGAAAAAAACCATACGAAAACACATATATGGAAAAAAACTATGTTCGTAAATACTTGCGCTGGTGGTTAAATATGGTATTCATGCACCCTTTGGGTACCAAAGACTGGCTGGGAGAGAAAAAACGGCCAAACACATCGGGGGACCTGGGGCAAGAAAGAGTATGTGTGTGTATACATCCATGAATAGCTACAAACACGCATAGATATATAAATGAATATGTGAATTAATGTGAACTAATGTGAATTACGTATTTTTTAGGCCTGAAATCTGCTAAGAAAGCACGGCGGCTTTCGAACTCGGCTGCCGCAAGAAACACACTTCAACATGTGGAATACCTATGTCGTTTTTCCCGAGGGCGTATATTTAATTGGTCACACAGGCTAGTGCTGCCAAATACAATCCTAGGAATCTGATGCTCTTTGCACACCCTTCGCGAGCAGCTTGCACAGGATGAGCGCGTATTGTTAAAGCGCCAGCGTTTGAAAAAGTCATGCGCAGATTGTGCTACCAGATTTGTTCAAGAGTGAATCTCGACACATGCATGTTTTTTTACTGGAAGCATGTTTGCCTCTTAAAACCCGAACGTCCATTCTTTTAAACCATCCTGACCTTTGAAATCAAAGTCAATGATGAAGCGGCCAAGGTTTCAAGCTGGGCAGTCATGATTTACACAAATCAAAAATCCAGACATAGAATGCACACATCAATTTTCGTTGCCTAACTAGGCCATGGTCGGTCTTCTGATGGCATATCCATGCAAAATTGCACGAAAGAAGCTAAAGGAGAGGGATTAGGTGCTGCGATAATATCGAGACAGGACAAGAACACTGGTCAAAGCTGGACACAAAGATTGTTGAGACAGATTTTTCGACTGATTTGTTTGAAATGACCAGACATTGCACTCAATCCCAACAAATTCAAGCCCTTAGTTGAGCCGAAGTGCTTTCTTGGCAGGTAAAAAATCCCCTCTTCATCGGGAAAGAACAATCCGTTCCGTCTGGACCAGAAAACTTTAACAAAAATAACGCAAAAGTGACCTAAAACGCTGTTGTTTCTATCACCGCCTAAACTTCAACTGTTTTGGTACCAAGAAGAACTTGAACAATGGCCTTCAGGCCTTCAGGCCTGCACAATTTAGCACCTCAGCCCTGAACAACGAAACGCTGTGAGAAGGAAAATTTCAATCCCAAGAGCTGTCATTAGGCATTTCGCACCTGAAAGCCTGAACGGATCTCAATGTTGTACTTTTGCTTTTTGAATAATTATGAACATGGTCCAAGTGTCAGTTGTTGGTTCTGTACACAGATCCGTCGTCTACCATGCCTTGGATTTTTGCTCCATATCTTTAAGCCTGGCCCGGATATTCAAAACTATGTTGAAATCATTTTTTGTGCCAAAAACAATCAAAAACATATACTAGGAATGGCGTTTGCGGCTTGGAAAATGGTGGCAACATTAGTTTTACCCTTTCAAGAAATCATGGTTTCTTGAGACAAAGATTGGGCGGGCATTTCAAACTTCAAACTGCACATTTAGTTTTTTGTATGAACAAACTGCCCCGGAAATTCAAGGGACACAATCTTTTGGAATTCTGGCAGATGCTCTGTTAGAAAACTTTCACAATGTGTATTTGTATAGGTATTCCCATGGCAGCGAATCCTTTGCTTTGCAGGCCAGTGAATATATCCTAAGCCTTTGTAGCTCTGAGGGCCACAAACTACAATATATGTTTCCCAGCCACCAAGAACCAGTTTGCTTGACGCGCGGTTTCATCCAGAATTGTTTTCTACGGAATGATCATGCTTCCAGGCTTGCCAACGTGCGTCCGAAAACAGAACTGCATCAGAAGATATCGGAAGTACGTGCATAGGGAGTAGTGGACCTTAAGCTCCCCAAACCTCTAGCCATGTCGAATCACGCAGAATCACGCGGAATCACGCCAATTTTTGTCTGAGAGCGCGTTTTCGTAAAAGCAATCACGCCCAATCACGCTCAATCACGTGAGCATATTTTCGCAATGTATCTTTCAGATCGTTTTTTTTGCTTGATTTTACCTACGATACCTTTCCCTTGACTAATTTGGTGGAGAAAAAACTGCATTTTTTTACAAGAAAGTACTTCCAATGAAATGTGACGACATGATTTATACGATTAAGCATTTGACTCCAACATACAGTCATGGTGTCGTAGCCACAGCCCTTCTTTCAGGTTGCTGCCATGATTGCATGATGGGTTGTGACCTGTTTTTAATGTTTGCTTCCCATGTTGAACAATGTCCAATCATCACCTCAAGGCTGTTTGAAACTTGATCACAGGTTTACCGCTGTCAGTTGGCTAGTTGCACAGCAATTTTCATCTAACAACAGACGATTCCGGAAATAAGAAGTATTATGTTGATCAAATTTACTTTGGGCAAACTACTAGTACCACTTGAGAAGGAAAATTTTCAACCCAATGGTCTCCCTTATCCTATCCTTTCTAGATGTTTCTTTCGCAACTATAAGTTTGATGTTTCTTTCCAACAGGAGCGGCCAAGAGCACAACAGTGGCATAGCAACGAAAGTGTACAGGAAGTTGTTCAAATGGAAGTTGCTTCGGGGACCTTAGACAAATCTATACAAATGTGTTTCCTTACAGACTCTGTGCATCACCCTGCTAGCAACACTGGATACATGAAGGCACATATTACTACTTTCAAGCAAGCTATATGCACTATAGTGTAACTTCCTTGCGACATGTGACAACCACCAGATTGATACCATCAGTTGCCCTATAAACTGTAGAGGAATCACCCCCGCTGGACCTTCTGTTCAGATTAGCAATTCAGAACCCCAAGAAAAAACAATCCGGTGAAAGTGAAAGAAACTAGCTGCAAATTCTTTCACCCATACTTTTTGTTCGGGAAAAAACGCACTAGTTTTCCCCGTTTTCCCTTTCAAAGACCCCGTTTTTTTCCAAAATATTTATGTGATCGTGGATTTGCTGCATTTGCTTTTGGATTCGTATGTATAGGCACCCGCAAGGCAATATCTATGGACAGGAGTCAAAATCCTTCCCTCATGACCCTATACTCAACAACAATACTCCAAGAGCAACCCAGGACCCTGTTCCTTGCCAAAACCACATCTATCATTTTTCCGGTTCCTATCACAACTGCAGGGTTTTTCACATTCTGCACCAGGGTTGGTAAAGAGTACGACTAAGGCACTGTAATGTCTGCCCACAGGATTTTTTCCGAATACTTTTGGCAATGTCAAATAATGTCAAATAGGTGCTCTGGGGAAAGTGAAAATCTATTATGAAGCAGGATGCTGTAATTTCTGATAGACTGATAAATCAGTTGCAGCACACTAACTGCAAGTCCAAGCGAGGTCTGCTTGTGAATTCTGAACTTTGTAAACACCTTGCCAGAACAGTTCAACCCTGAGAATTGGTCAAGAAAAACCTGGCCCAAATACTTATCCTTTTTTCTCCTTTGTCAAATGGGTAGACCTCTGTGTGCTAATTTTTAGTACGGTTTTTGAGGTACTTGCTAACTAAAGGAGTAATGAATACAACGAAATGGATCAGTTCTTGTAAATACTGCCTGTAGTGTGTCAAAGGTTCACCATTCTAATCGGAGACCGTTTACAGATAGGAACTCCGTATTAAGAATGTTGAAACAATATCAAAACATGTTCCGTTCATGGCTTTGCATGACAAGAGGGGATAAACAGTGCATGGACTTACCGCATATAGAAGATTAGAGAGTGATGGCGAGAGAAACATGTAGAAAATATAGATGTGAAATTGTTGCAGGGATGATCGACAGGGCCCTTTTTGTCCCAGAGCGCGTTTCGTAAACCAAACACATTCTCAGACCAAAACACATTCTGGGACACTTTTGCCCACATTGTGTCTATTTTTGCGTTTGGGAGCCTCAAGGTGGATTGAATCCCCATTTTCCCACATGTTGGATGGTTTGAATCCACATCTTTCCCATTGTTCGATGGTTGACATCCCCCATTTACCCATCGAAAATGGCACGACGATGCTGCCAGGCTCGTGACGCGATGGTGTGGTGCCCCGAGACCGAACCCGGTTGATGGATGAAATCCTTTGAGCTATTAATCATTATAAGTATAGTAGATGAGTATAGTATATTTTATACTATTATTATTCTGAAATTATTCTGAATGGTTTATAGTGTTTTGTATATATATATATACATAGATGAGTAATACTAGAAAAATATATAGCGTATTACAACAACTATAAGTAGAGTATCGAGCACTGTCCCCACCACATGTAGATCATCGAGCATATTAAGCGGTGGTTTTCAAAATTCTGGGGTTGTGGTTATTGAGTGACCTTACCTTGATGGTCTGCAATTATCCCCGTGTTTTCCACGTAAGGCTTGGGCCATCTTCGACGACACCGAAGGGTAAAAACCGATATTCCATCATATTCCATGAATATTCCATTCAATGGATTGATTTAAGGGAAAATCTGTAGGAAACCATAGATCTTCCCATACTTGTAGATCAATGTCATGTTTTCCTGGGCTCCCATCATAACCAATCCATTGATCCATCCGATCAAGGCCCTGGGTGATGCCGCTGTCTCCGATGGAGCCTTTCAGGTGGAGTCCAAGTCGTGGGGTTATCCCATTTATATCTGGTTTCTAAATGGGGAATACCATCTGGTTATGACTAACATAGCCATGGAAAATTAAAATGGCCCATAGAAATAGATGGTTTACCTATTAATAGCATGGTGATTTTCCATGGCTATGTTAAATAACCAGATGGTATCCCATTTATGGGATAATTGGGATATATAGTAACCATAGTTTATCATTTATAAATGGGTACATGTTATAACTATGGCTACTGGGATAAATTGATGATATACTGGGAATATCATGCGGGCCATGTCCAGAGATGATTGTACCTCACAGCCAGAAAAAATGGGTGATGATTAGCCATGAGATAGTGGTGGCTCCCTAGTTTCAGGCAAAGCCAAATGGTTGGATAGGAAATTGATAGCAATTTTGGTCAGTTATATAAATCTATAAACTGGGTGTTGAAATGGGATGGGTTTGAAGCAATTAGAAATGTCAATTGCCAATTGGCGCCAGTATTGACCGGCCAATTATCACTACTTGGAGTCACTGAGTGTGATGATCTTCCAACGCAGCTTTATTGATATATATATATATCCCCATTTTTGATGATGAATTTCCCATTAACTGATAACATCGGAATTACATTACATGATAGTAGCTGTTATTCCTCATTTTGCCTATTCCCATGTTTGCAGTTTTTGTTCCTCTATACGCATGTGATACAATAAGGTAAAGCCGGATTTTATTACTGTCCCATACCAACGGGATGATGTAAAATGACTGATGGTTGCTGGATGGTTTATAGCAGTTTACCACACTACTTGCAATAGAACACTTGGGTTATGAGTTATCACCCGTTATAAAAATTTATTACCCATAATATACAGATGTGGGTTAGTTCTGCTTCATCTGAATATTCAGGAACTGGGTTATGCTCTGATGCAACCCAGAATATCGCAGTTACCCGACCCATTTAAAGATGATATAACGTACCTATCCGTACCTATTAAAAATGTGTTTTTTTCATTGCAAACTGTTAACATCAATTTGCAATGTTGATTATATCCCCATGAATTCTTCATTATATGATTATATTATGTATATATATATATATCCCATATTTCCCCATTACATCCCCATTAAACCCTCATTGTCAAACATATTTATCCCCATAGTATTGGAGATGTCCAAAAAAAAATCAGAGGCGCGTAAAGCAGAGCCGCCAGATGCTGCCAGGTGTCCATGCTGGATCATAGTGCTGGCTGGCCTGACTTGGAGGTCCAGCCCAGCATGGGAGGTTATGAGTAATCCCAAAATCCACAATATACCCATAATTAATAACCTCCTTATTAATATTAAACCTCCCAAACATCCCAAAAATATATGGATTAGGAGGTTAATATACCCAATAATAATCCTTTCCCCCTGATTAATATCTAAAAATCCTTTTGAAACCATGGTTTAGTAGGGATTTTCCACATTTCTTTGGGACCATGCAATTTTTTTGTGTGTTTAATATTAGGGTGATGGGATTATTTATGGATTAGTATATTATATTATGGATAACCATCATTTAACATATTTCAATAATTTTTAATAATGGTCGTCCAGCATCCCCAATGTTTACCCTCCTTTTTACCATCTTTTTGGTGGGCCAAATTGGGGTAGTTGCCATTGGTAGCGATGGTTGCCATAAAAATAGATGGGAGAGTCCACTTATAGATGCACCACGTCGGATACTGTTGTGAAGCAGTTACTCAATAGGGCAATCTTCCAACTGCTATTCAGTAAAATTGGGGTCGTAAAAATTGGGGTGGTTGATAGTCCTGCTTTTCATGGATACCTTCTGGTAAATCAACAGTATATAGCGGATAGCAAAACATACAAAAAGCTATTGAAAATGGCCCGTTATAGTTGATTTACCTATGGAAAATGGTGATTTTCCACTTCGCCATGTTAAATTACCAGAGGGTATAAATCATCAAACAATCTTCGTGTAGCCTTTGGTGACCAAAACATGGCCGGCCAATTCCCCATAGACGGTTTACGACCAGTGTACTTACTGCGTGGGATGAACCAGGGTTATGACCATGTACAGTACTGGTTTTACCCTCTGGTAATTTAACGTAGCTATTGAAAATGACCATTAATAGTGGATTTTCCCATTAAAAATGGTGAATTTCAATAGCTATGTTAAATTACCAGAGGGTATATGATTTTATAAACTACAACAGTCATCAGATCCAAAGATGAGGTTAAGGGAAACAGACTGGTGATATTGGTCGCTTGGTTGGTGGTTGGTAGATGAGGTGTAAACCATCAAACCTACGATGTGAAGAACTAATTTTTGGGAAACGACAGCAATACAGTTGTTTTTTTCGCTTCTGCTTGGAGGAATCGGCTATTTTCCCTCAGCCTTGCCGGCGGTGGCAATGCATGATCCCATCATTGAAACATCTCCATTGATGTTGATGTTTAATGATGTTTAATTAATGGTGTTCAATGGTGTTTAATCTCATTGAAAAGTTCCATCTTCCATTGTTTTTACATCTGTTTAAAGATTTTTTGTCCCATGTCACAGGACTGTAGCTTCTAATCATGGGATAAGTTTCAGTGTCTCCCATCGCGCAGGTACAAGTCCTTGGCAATTATGCCGCAACTTGGCTCCTGACATGGGAGGAGCGGTCTATGTTGGAAAGTTTCATATGGAAATTTGAAGGTGTTTGGCCATATCCCCCAGCTGTTTTTTGGTTCAATCCTCATGTTCTGGTCGATTTAGACTCCAATGTTGGTCCGTTTCCCGCTTCCATCTTTCTGAGTAGCTTACTGTATAACGTAGTTTAATATGTTTAATCACTTGCCATAAATGGTGATATATCAATTGAATCAATATATGAATCAGCCAAAGATCCATTTTTTTCGTAGGGTATGTAAGATTAATCGTGTGAATGCAATCTTGTTTATTGCGGGGAGTTTATAGGTACAACATGGTATAACCGTATAACCGAAGAATTGTCTTAGTCTTTCTTACTGTTTTTGTTGGTCGCTCATTCCAGCTACTTTTTTGCTAGAATTGGTGGTGAAACCAGATCCCGTTAGGACCACCTTGCCCCATATCGCCCCATATGGCTTTGAAGGGTATCCCAAAATCCCGTTGAGGATTTTTCCACAATGGCAATGAAATTGGGGATACACCCCCCATTTTCAGGCAGATTTTCCATATGTTTTCCATATGTTTTCAAATCGAGGTCTTATTGACCTCCTTCGACCCCAATCAACGCGTCACTTTGGCGTCCATGGAAGAGTCCCAACCTTACAAGGCGACTGGGCCAAAGTTGGGCGACCCTCAAAAGGATAGACATGGGATGAAATGGGGATGAGTCAAAACGTACTGTGAATGGAAGAGATCCTGCACCAGTTGGTAGATGGTTTATCCTCCAAAAGTCCCATTATGTACAGTGTTTCATAGTTACTAGTAGTTTCCAACTGGTGCAGGATTTCTTCCATCCACAGTATGAAATTCGGGGAGGAACATGATGAACATCCGCTTGCCAGCTATTTTGGCCTGAGAACCAGGGAACCAGGCTGTTGACCCACACCCGTCAAATCCTACAATGTTTTTGTGGCAAATAACTGTTCTGCGGAAGAAAACGGAGGTATAACCAATTTGACAAAGAGAAATTACCATCTGGTTATTTCACATAGCCATGGAAAATCACCATTTTTAATAGGTAAACCATCTATAAATGGGCCATCTATACCATGGCTATGTTAGTCATAACCAGAGGATATATAGGATATATCAACAACAGAAGTGGAGGCACAACTAACCACCAGCCAGTCTTACTGTAGATTTCAACCGACAACCATGGGGATTGTGTCAGCAAGAAAGAAATGTCCACAATGAAAGCATCAGAATAAAACCAAGTACAATCGACTTTAAAACATCCAGAAAAGACTGCAAAAAGCAAGTTCTGGAAATCACCAGTAGGGGAGGAGTTCACTGGGTAATCCGACGGGTGAAGGCTTGGTTGTGATTATGTTCTGGCTATTTGAGTGGTGGATGTGCTCATACTCCACTAATTAACAAATTGCCTTCTTAAGAACATCTAAGGTTGGCCATGATCAATGATCATCCCAGTTTTCCTGACTTGTGTAAGGGACTAACAGACATTGTCAACGTGAAATGGAATATATTGGACTATCAAAGTTCTATGATAAAACACACAATTCTACCTATGATTTCGAGAAAACAAATCAAACATGTAATTAATCAATCCAAACGCATGAAACTAGACCTAGGATTGTTTTGAGCACTTTCCCAGCTCTGGTTACCTATCACCCACTCGCAGTGGATAGTGAAGATTGTGTCATAAGGCGCCAAAAAGACCCTCAGGATGTCACATGTTGCGATCATACTGGTGACTGGCTTCCTAGATACACCAAGGTCCCCATGAAAACCTGCCAGGAACATCTGAATCGTGCCAAGAGCGCAGCTGTGTGATGGTCACATGACTCGAAAATCGCGGGGTGCATCTGGACAAATTATAAGGACCTCTCATAATTGGGTTTATTTTTGGTGAATTGGTATAAATCATTTGATATCATATCTATATATAATATCATGAATATAGATGGCTTTATCGAAGAAAGCATCCTCCTCAGTCGCCGCAGATCATGCCTGTCTGATAAGCTAAAAATATGGTTATGTGGCCTGCTGGGAAACCCCCATTGTTATCAGATAATCATAGATGAACAATTTTCCATCACCAGGTTGAAACGCCGAAATCTCATTCCTCAGTCAGTCTGGCTATCGCTTGCAATCCAAATGACACAGGGGGATTATACTGTTATCAGGGTTGGCTATGATTACCATTATCATTATCATGATCATTACCATTCTTATCATTATCATTCTTATCATTATCACTATGGTTATCATCATTGTAGTGCTGTTAGCATAGTTAGTATCATTGTCATGTCCATGATCATTACCGTTATCACTACCATTACCATTTTCATTATCATCATTGTTCGAATCATGTTTATTATGTTTTATTTTTCATCATGATTATCATCATTATTCGTCACTATTCTTCTTGTTATCAGTATTCTATCACCCTTATCATTCGTAGCATCAATAATGAATAAATCAATAAATATTCTATATATACATATACATATATATATATACATATATATTATATATACATATATATACATATACATATATATATATATACATATATATACATATACATATATATATATATATACATATATACATATATACATATATATATATACATATATATATATACATACATACATATATATATATATATACATACATATCGATTTCTTGTTAATCAAGAATCTTTACTGTAAGATTTATCACCAGGTGGTCATGTAGCAGGTGTCCCAAAGCCTCGGAGCGAAGCGGAGCGAAGCGGAGCTGAATTCGATGTTGAATTCCCAGCTACCACCATTTAAAGTATGATTTTCCCAGCTATCATATATAACATATATGGATATAATATTCCATATATGGGATTTAAAATATGGATATATGGATATAATCATATATAATCCCATATATGATGATATTCAATGATATTCATAACTGATTATCCCAAGATTTTCCGCTGGTTTTCCCATTTCGTAAGGCACCAAAAAAAGCTCGGGATACCGAGCTGGCCGGAGGGTCTCCTGAAAGTTGCGATTCTTGAGTCAGCAGTGACACCACCATCGTCTTCCCACCCGCCTGAGGCGGGTCGGCACGGCGGAACCACAAGCGGTGGTCTGATGTATGGGGCGACAACGACTTATCTTCATTTCATTCACTAATTCAGTAGGAAATTCAAGTAAGTAGTTATAGAATTTGAATTCATTGCTGGTCTTGCACTGGTCAGATACAACAAAATCAACAAACATGATGTTTAAGCCAACAAAATAAGAATATATCAGCAAAAATTGCTGTGGGCGATGCGCCACAAGTAACCGGAAACATACCTTTGTTTAGTGCGAAATTCATGACGAGCACCATGTGATGTTCGGGGTCAACATTTTGAGACAAACCCATATCATCCCATATCAATAGAAGTGGCAGCACCAGTGGCACCACAGCTGATACCTATACCGGCTATCCTGGAATCCTCAGGAGTCTGAATCGCTTGTGGTTTGTCCGTTTTTGCTCGCCACACGCCGCTTGCGCGGCGCACGTGCACCAGCGGCGCTTCGTGGGGGGTGGCTTCCGTGTGAAGATCTGCGAAGGGTAATCCTAGCTTCCGTGGGTACTGTTTGATGCAATAGTCATTACCACGGGAAGTTGAGATACATATTTATAGAAACATGTTTTTAGTAATTGGACAAGGTACACATGGAAAAAACATGAAAAAAACATGTGATATCCTGTAGCTAGGATGTATTGGCCATTATTGGCCCTCATTGGAATGGATCTTTGACCAATGTCTTAATCAATGTCATGCATCTCGGAGGGAGGTGATCTATCTCAGATACAGCCACACTTCGTGGGTGTCTACATATTCTTTAGGCAATATTATCTGGTTGGTGCTTTGGGACATGAATTTTATGACTTTCCATATGTTGGGAATAATAATCCCAACTGACTAATATTTTTCATAGGGGTTGAAACCACCAACCAGTTATTATACAATTCCATCCTGCAGGAAACTAATGACCCCAATAATGGACTTGAAAATGATTACACGCAAAACTAAACCAGGGCTTCTATCCAATGACATGCCATTACATTGCATGAAATGACATGACATTACATACCCTTTGGCAATTTACCCTAGCTTTGACAATATTTTTTTTCAAGACGTTAAATCCTCTATAAAGTGTCATGGCGTCCATACCAAGCCGTTAAAGTACCAGGTAGATCCGATTTCAAGATTTGGACTCCCCTTTACCAAGGTTTGGTGAGTCACCAAACAGTCCAACATCTGCTGCTTCTCACAGGAGCGCGCCACCGCGCAAACTCGTAACTCGTTCCTTCGTCTGGTGTCATGGACTACGTTCCAAGCCTTCTTGGATGATCATCGCCGGATACGCTGCGACAGTTTTCCCAAAAATTCGTCGAAACCCACAAAAGGTCACCAATAAATAGATATAAGTAGGTCATATATCAGCTAATATAGCAATAAATAATAGATCACTAGGTTATGATAGTACTATATTAATCATCAATGAAATATAATGGTTGATATAATGGTTGATATAATGGTTAATGGTTGATGTCATGGTTAACCCTTATATCAACCATTCTATCATTATATCAACCATTATATCAACCATTCTATCATTATATCAACCATTATATCAACCATTATATCAACCATTCTATCATTATATCAACCATTATATCAACCATTCTATCATGATATCAACCATTATATCAACCATGTTATCAACCATATTATCAACCATTATATCAACCATATTATTAACCAGTATTGGAATCCAGATCGCACGTCCGTTCTTTTTTTTGTGGTCTGTGAATGTCTGTGATCCCGGTTCGAACGGATTTGTCGACCTGACCTGCCACGGAATCCCACCGCACCGACTTTAAAAAAGACGTGCGGCCCTGTGGTCCAATCGGCTGTCAATGAGGACAAATTTGTTTATAATATAGATAGATAAGATAGATAAGATAAGATAAGATAAGAGTAGATTAGACTAGATTAGATTAGATAGATAGGTAGATAGAAAGAAAGATAGATAGATGATAAGTTATAAGTGAAAAAATAAAGAGATGCCAATTTGCTCTCCCATAATTTTCTAGAATCACTAGGGAAATGCGAAGATTTGACTCTTCTTGGGTGTTTTCAGTTACAGGTACTTGTAGATGAGTTTTTACGGAGCACCTATGCTTTGTTGACAATCCACCTGTTCATGCTTGCCATTTGAGCACAGACTTGCTTTATCTTTGTGATTTGAGATTCTAAGTGGTTTCATCGGGCTGAGCCCACAGATTTTCGATGATTCTCGCAGGTCATAAATATTTCGAGCTGTTTCACAAGCAGTTTCGGTCTGTTTTCTCCCAACCTACTGTAAGATGGTCACCAATGCCCATCTGCTTGGTGGTTTGGAACATGATTTTTTTGACTTTCCATATATTGGGAAGAATAGCCCCAACTGACTAATATTTTTCAGACTGGTTGAAACCACCAGCCAGCCATTGTTTCGGTCTGAAAGATGTGTGTTCTTTTAATTGTCCATTGATCATAATCAATCATAGCTGATTGTTCATCAATGGCCGATTCTCACCCAACCTAGGAGAATTGTTCGTCTGGATAATTATGGTCCATTACCATTATCCATGATTCATGATCCATAATTCTCAATCAATTATGATGAACTTATCCATTACCCCATGGTAATTTAACATAGCTATTGAAAATGACCATAGAAATAGTGGATTTACCCAGCTAGAAAATGGTGGATTTGTCCATTTGTCCATAGTTATGTAAGCGTTTTCCAGAGGGTAGATGATTAAAAAAAAAAACATATTTTAAACCTCCATCCATAGGTCTATAGGGGATTTCCCCATGGCCCATGCTGCTGGATGATGGATAGTCGATGATCATCGACACATCCAAATCTAGCAAAAAAAACACCGTTTTATAGTCAATCAGTCCCATATCATATTGACGGTAATGTTAATGTATGTATATACATTATATATATATATATATATGCAAATTACAACATATGTATATATATATATATTTATATCATATATGTATATTTATACATCATATATATATATACATCATATATATATATCATATATATATATATGTATATTTATACATCATATATATATATACATACATGTACGTATATTATTTTTCTATAGTGTATCATGATGTGTCCCACTCACTATATGTCATTCCAATGCCATAAATGGATGTTTCCTAAGTCATGGGTACCCCACATCTTCCAAGCCATTGGATCCGTATTGAGAAAGCCCCATATATATATATATATAGTGGAAATACAGTGGAAATATCATGGAATTTAGGATTCATGGGGAATTTCCACTATATATGGGGAATTTATGGAGTTATGGAAATATCATGGAATTTCCTAAGAATTTATGGACATATCATGGAATTTAGGGTTTTCTTGCCATTTCTTCTAGGGTTTCTTGCCATTTCTTCTTGGGGAAATCCCCGATGTCCGAGCGCGAACACGGCGGAGGCGCAAGTGGATGAACTCTTGCGAGAGAACGCAGGGATGGCCCAGCAAGAGCAAGGACTTTCTCGGCCGGAGATCGGATGGGGGGTTCAAATAATGTGGCTGGTTGCCACTGATTATCATAATGGTGATTATAATAGTGATGATCATATGGTGAAGTAATGGTTATCATTAACAATGGTTAATAGTGGAGAATACGGTAATAGTGGGATAATACTGGTGATTATCATACTGGTTGGTGGTTTGGAACCATGGAATTTTATGATGTTCCATATATTGGGAATTTCATAATCCCAACTGACGAACTCATATTTTTCAGAGGGGTAGGTATACCGCCAACCAGATAATAATTTTACCTGTTTATTGGAAATCATCACTCTTACATTTGTTGAAATACAGGACAGTCTACATTTTCTAGCTTCAACAATGAACTGTTTACCAAGACGGGTTATAGCAAAGAAATCTCGTTCGCATGTTCACCGACAAACACGGGCAACGTGCGCAGCTGTGACCATCAGCAGCTGACCATCAGCTGGTCCCTACGACATTCCCTGAGAAAGAGGCTCTCAGCGATGATCCTTCCCAGTGCCTCACTGGGTATCACAAAACAGAATCGAATACCATTCCATAATTCCTTTCTGAACAAATTTGTACATACATACATATATATACATATATACATACATACATAACCAGTCTTTACCAACCAGTCTTTACCAACCAGTCTATACCAACCAGTCTTTACCAACCAGTCTTTACCAATCAGTCTTTACCAACCAGTCTTTACCAACCAGTTAACCAACCAGAGGCCATCCCAGTAGCATATATGCTCATAGAACCCCAGCTTATGATCACCAAAGAACTATAAATTCATCCAGTTGGGATAAACCTGTTTTAAACCAACCAGTTCAACCACTGATCAGAAGAGAATAGTTGAAAGGAACTAATATATATATGTATGATTGTATTGTGATATTACAATGATCAAATATATATATATAGTTCAATAAATAAACTCCATTGGCACATTGGTGTATTATATATATATATACATACAGGTTTCCTAAATGGTGGTATCCCTAAATCATCCATCGTAATAGGAGCATTAATCCACTGATGAAATCATCCAGCTGAGGCGCAACTCCGGCTGGATCGTCCACGACCTTTCGCTTCGCCGGGAGTTGCATCCCCAGTGGCTATCAGTGGCTCAGGTTTCCTCAAATGCTGCCCCCAAATCATCCTTAAAACTTAAAATTGCTCAAAAAAAATGGGAAAACCAATGGTTTGGGGTACCATAAAATTTTAAGAAGGTAACCATATTTTACAGGATGGTGCCCCCAAACGTGATGTGAACGTTGGTTTATAAACCCCATGAAAACTAGTTCGTTATATCTACCGATAAACCATAGTGAAGCCACTTATGAGGCAACTTAGCTATCTTGGGTGGCCCCATCCTGCAGGATTTTTTTCGGATGCTAGGTGAGGGTAGTGGAATTCTGATGTTTGAGTAGCAAAATTTTGGAGTTTTCGAGCATTGGATAATATGCCATCAAATGTAATATTCCACCTTGAAATCTTGCCAGCTTAACATGGAGGTACTGCACATGATAGGGTAAGTTGGGCCAAAATCTGATTTGAAATCAGTGCTTGTTTTTTTTCCTGAAAACATCCTTTTGAAATATGCTGTGCTTAAGTAGGTTGCAAACGGTTTATGCAATGGGTTTTGGCGCGGTTCAATGCGCCTCGGGTCCGGTAGGTAGGTCATCATTATGTGGGGCAAAAACTTACCTGGTTGGTGGTGATTTACTCTATGTTTTGGGATATGGTGGTTAATAGTGATATTAATAGTGGTTAATAGGCTATAAACCAACAACAATGGGAATATGATGGTGATCTGGTTGGTGGTTTGGAACATGAATTTTATTGTCCCCAATAGTTTGTTTATGATGTTCTCCAATCTGACTCATATTTTTCAGGGGGGGGTAGGTATACCACAACCACCAATTAGTTACCGGTTCTGCCGGTTCTCTGGTTGTCAGATTTGTCACTTTTTTGGGGGAATCCCGGAATCCCGGAATCCCTATGTCACAGCTTTGGGGATGACAGAGGGTGAACTGGGCACAAGCCAGTCGCTATACAAGTGCGAACGACTCAAGATGGCTGGATGTCATGAATTTCAATTGAAAGTATTGAAAGTATCAATAGATACATCACAAAATATATATTCGATTTCATCAATTATATTATATACATGTATCTTTGCTTCGCAAAGATAGTAAACTATCACACTGCTATTATCCACTGATATGATTGTTGTTATTGGCTAGTATCTGTGTATCCATTTCTACATATGTCTACTATTACTACGACTATATAACTACTACTATATCAGTACGGCTATTTCCATATCACTACTCTTGTATACACTATTAGTCATATATCACTACTTATCACCACTATTGTTTTAGTACTACTAGATAGTTGATATTGGTAGCAGCTGAGGCTGGTCTGGGCAGTCCGGAGACACAGGATCCCACTTTGGCTCGAGCTGAGGCTTGGAAAATGTCGAAGTCAGAGGGGATCACCCATGAAATTCGCTGCTGTTTCCATTGAAAGCTCCATGTTTGGTGGGGAAAGCTCCATGTTTGGTGGTGTATTTCCCGATATGTTCCAAACTAGTTGTCCCATATAAACCAATTCTTAATTCCAATCAGCTCAATCAACCATTTTGTTGGAAATCCCCATATTTTCTTGGTTCCTAATATGTTGAAAAATGGGAAATCCATATGTTCAACCTGAGGATTTCCCCACTTCCTGAGGAGTTCCCGACAAAATTCATGGCCAGGACTTGGGCGAACTGCGACGCCTTCATGGGGAGGCCTTCTGCCAGCGTTCGTTCGTCGCTTTTTTGGATGAAACTGGGGGATAAACCATGACTTACTGGTGCTCAACGTAGGGAATTTTTGGGAATGATTGAGATTTTCACTAGTAATAATCATCCCAGCAACCCCCAGTCCCATCCATTCCCTACGTTTAGCACCAGTAAGATGACTAAGTAATGATTAAGGTTAACCCCGGATTGATAGACCATGGTTTATGACAATTAGGGGGATACTCCTCCAATACTCATAATCTAATACTTTTTTACGGTACCTCCCAATTAAACAGCCGTTTGGGGTTTATTAATCCAGGGTTGACATTATTTGACATATGTGGGTCCAACAGTGCCATACACATATTAACTATCCCGGAGTCATCACCATTTTTTTAGGTGGTATGTTTACCATTCCCAAATGGATGGTTTATGACATTGTTTTACCCACATTATGGTAAGTTTCTCTTGTTGAGTCTTCGGGCATTTGGAGAAAACCAGCTCACTCACGCGCGACCTCGCAAGCAAGGTTTGCCTATTCTGTGACTTCAGTTGGTTTCACATGTGCCATGGTCCATGGTTGTCAATCCTTTTTAGGGATTTACATACCCAGTGTAAGGAGTCCATTATAGGTAAATGACCATAACCCATATACCATCTTTTGACCATGGCACACATGGTGGTTTGTAGCTATTCATCTGGTTCTGGTTCTCGTTTGGAAGATGTGTTCATCCAGAAAACAAATGGGATGGGCATATTTTTCCGGGGTGAAACCACCAACCAGATCTGGTTAAGTACCAATTTTCTCAGCATTTCTCTCTTTTGGACCCTTTATCGCTTTCTCCGGGGTTCCCTTAATGGATCCTAACCTGCGATCCGTCAGCAAAAAAAAACAATCCGTGGGTTTGTCTGAAATTTTGGGTTCCCACAATTCAATGCTTGATCATCATACGTCCAAGTGAAATGTCTATTGTATGGGTAAAAAAACAAACTTTCAGACATACCAATATCCTATATTGGTGGCCCATTCTACTCCAATTAAGGTTGGTGAAATATTGATAAGGTTAGACTCCTCCAATAAAAGTTGTATTACATATATCCAATGTTGTTGATTAAATCACAAAATTAAAACATGACATTATTGACATTAGTTTACCTTTGGCAAAATCACCAAGGAAATATCCGATATTGTGGATTTAATAAAAAAGACCACTGTCCCAAATGTCCCAAATGTCCCAATTGAGCCTGTGCTCTGAGTGAAAATGGAGCATATCTGAGAGTTTACTCAGAGTTGACATCCCCTTGTTCAAATCACCCATTCGCAGGTAGCATCCCAGCGTCGTGTCCTGGATCGAATGTGCGGAACCTGGAAAAAGCCACGGGCTGCGGAACGATCCGTAAAGTTCTTGTTGGTCATCATAAAGGTTGGTTTAACCAACAGAAATGGTGATTTACCATCTGGTTATTTAACGTAGCGAACTGGGAAATCACCATGTTTAATAGGTAAATCCTCATAAATCCTCTAATTTATGGGCCATTTTCCATAGCTACGTTAAATAACCAAAGGGTAATTGGGAAAAATCGTGATTTGACAGGGAACAATGGTGTTTAAACTATAAAAATTGGTGCTACAAATTGGGATATCACGAAATATCATGTGTAGAATCTGGATAAGTTACAACGACCTCGCGTTGCGGCGTAAGTACAATGATGGAAATTGGATTGGGGTAACGATACAAAAATTGTCTCAGGTGAATTCCATCATGGATCCAGAACATGGGGAGCGAACTAGATAAAAAAGTCTAAAAAGTAGGATTCAAACAGCAGAGTTTGGATTCCCTGGGGAAGCTCCCAACAAACTTTGTAGTGGATACCTGGAGAGTGTCAAAGGAAAGGGCGTATTTACAGAAGGTGATGGAGATTTTCAAGAAACTACTGCCCTTCGTTTCCTCAGCTTGAGGCATGGCCAAGTTATGGCTACTGTTCCCGTGAAGTCTCAGGCATCGTGGCCCGGTGGAACTGGAACCAGTCGAAGGTCTGTCCGGATGGTCTGGAAATCAATCGTGGGCTCAGTGACCTCATTGCCTCCAACGACTACCCATGGCATAATGCAGCCCAGGCTGACAAGTTTCTACTACAGCCATTCTGTGAGATCCAGGCATGCCTTTATCGAAAGGTGTGGAATCAAACCTCGTGCTGTGGCAGTGCTGGATGTGGCACATAGCATTGATGGTATGGACACCTATGCTGTCTATATCTGCCAATGGTTCTGTAAGCGTTGGTTTCCGATGTCGATTTTTTGGCAACTGTTTAAAGACGGTGGAGCTGAAATTGAATGGCAGATTTATAGTATGAATATCAAGTTTGGCTATCGACCCTCAGAAGGAAATGGAAGCCCATATACAGTGTTACAGATGCGTCCCAAAATTGGATAGCCCAAAATTCACTAATAGTTCATCGAAATGGCCCCGTAGAGTTACCTAATTTTGGGGTATACCCCCTGGACAAAGCCGTCTTCAGGGATTTTCCCTGAGGCTCATCCCTGTACGGGCGAGCTGGCTCAGTGGTTCTGACTCTGGGGGAAGCCCACAAAATAGATAAGATAAATAGGAACTTACTTGGAGGTGCTGTTGCAGTTGGCTATATCATTCTGGGATTTAAACCCCCAGAAGTTGAGATACAGCCCTTCTAACTGTGGCTATTAGATATCCTTTTTTTAAGTGGAGCTGCACCCCCAAGTACTGATCATTCGTGATGGATGTTTGCTACCCACTCACCTCAATCACTCAGTTCATTCCTGGTTGGTGGTTTCAAACATTTTTTATGTACCATAATACATGGGATTAATCTTCCCATTGACTAATATTGTTCAAGATGGTTAAAACCACCAACCAGATTCATATGACACTACTACCGCCTATTAACCATTTACAATCGCTGGGATGTTTTTTTTAAAGCGAAATTTGACCATTTCACCCATCTCTTCTTCCCAGAATTGCGTGAAGGAAAAATCCCAGGAACCCTTTCCATTATATAAATCAAACCAGTTTATGAAATAAAAGGCATATAAAATCATGTTTTTTTAGTTCAATCCCATTTGTTTTGATGGTTCAATGTTAAAACAAGCAGTGATTAAGGTGCACACTGCCCAGAAAAAAAAAAAAATGCCGCCCAAGGGTGCAGATGTTGTCTGCGGATGCGGGCACGGCAGCATTCGAACTCTTGATAGAGGACTGGAAGAGGGTCGTCGGTGAATGGTAGCAGGATTTCTATGGTTTTTGTAGCGACATCACTAGCGAACTAACTAAATGATGGTCAAACATCTGTGCGAAAGCCCATAGAAAATCACTTGAAAATCAGAGTTGGACAGTTGGACCCATAACTGATGAGTTGGACCCATAATAGCAGTAGTTAATAGCAACAACAATGATGTCCATAATCAATAAAATACCTTAGTTACTCCCCGTCATGGATGGCTTCATAAATTTGGCAGGATTTCAGCGTGTCATCCCCATGTGTTCCGCTTACATGGATGGGAACTTTTGGAAAATGATCTTTGGGTGGGATAAACCAAAAGTTCTGATCCATATAAGCAGAACACATGGGATAAACATCCATAATTCCCAAATGGCCGCACTATTCAGGTTAGTGAAATATTATCATTTACCCAGATAATTCCAAACCATTTCGTTGTTCACTACAGGAAAAGTTCCGGAAGTAGTTACAAGTTAGTGTAGAACCCCATCCAGCTATGACCCCATCCAACTTTTTCATGTCAACCCCCGGACTGATAGACCATGGTTTATGACAATTGGGGGGATACTCCTCCAATAGTCATAATCTAATACTTTTTCATGGTACCCTCCCAATTCAACAGCCGTGCTAGGGGTTTATTAATCCAGGGTTGCCATTAGTTATAAACCCTAGTTCAGTTCTAAGTCAATTTAGCTAACTATGAGGCAGTATGGGCCGCTTCCTGTGAGGGTCTGCTTTGGACATGTTTTGAACGCGCCGTCCCGTGAGGAATGCCAACGTTTGTTCCAGCGTGTGGTGGCCATGAATGATGAGAATGCGGTGCTGAAAGTGCGGGTGCGGATGCCTGGACAACAACCATGCCTCGAAGAACGATGGTACCCTCTGGTAAACTAACATAGCGAACTGTAATCCACTATTTCTATGGCCATGTTCAATAGCTATGTTAAATTACCAGAGGGTATTTTATAATGAAGAATGGTGGTGTCATGGGATTGAAGGGATTCAATGGAGGGTTTCTAATGGTGATTTAACATGATGTAGTGGAAATTTCTCATGAGATGGGAAACAAAATGTGTGGATTCACCGTGGTGTTTCGGGAAACTCACTATTCAGGTAGACCATGGTACACCTAATACACCTAAGTTCAAATGGAACCTCAAAGATTGGAGGAGAGGATGTTTGGACTTGGAAAATGTGGGTTCCATGTTAAGGTTTACCCTCTGGTAAACTAACATAACTATGGAAAATCACCATTTTTCATGGGAAAAACCACTATAAATGGCAATTTTCAATAGCTATTTTGACATAACCAGAGGGTAAGGGGTGTGGAAATTCGCTGTGGTGAAGCCATCACCGGAAATGTTCGTCCTCCGCAAGGTGGGAGATGCTCCAAAAGAAGCCTTGCCCAGCAACCTCCAGGAGGCTCACGAGGCACCATGGTTACTGGTGGTGGTTTAGTCAGTGATAATGGATCTCATTGGGATACATTGAGGATATAATGGGGAGCGCAATGGAAAGAGAGAGAGAGAAAGAAAGAAAGAAAGAAAGAAAGAAAGAAAGAGACTTTGTGTATATATATATATTATATTATATATATATATGTATATTAAGGGCTGCCGCCCCTGCCGCCGACCCCGGAAGAATCGGCAAGGAAGCAAACTAAATTCTGAGGCTTTCGACCTTTTTCCTATGTATATTGTTGTGAACTATATTTGATAGGTTTGAATTTTCATTTGTAAATGGGTTTTTCATTTGGGTGCATGTTGATATTATGATCCTATGGTTTTATGGGTTCACGGATCTAAGTAACTGTACAATAGTTAGATATATCTATACGATAGTTTTGGCCTTTTATTATGCAGCTAGTGTTGCGCCGCACAGGTGCATGGTTGCGCCGCACAGGTGCATGATAGTTTATCAAAGTATACGGGGACCTTGTTTTTTTGGATCCTCCGCCTTGTTTTCCGTGTTTTTTTGACCCTTCATGAATGAAATCCTAAATGAAACTCTCAAGAAACTACCCACATGAATGTTTGAAAACCTTGACAAGATTTTCGGTTGAAACAATTAGTTTGGCAGTGAAGGACGGAGAAGGCGCAAAAAAGGCGGCGAAAAAGTGCCTAACGTAACTTCTGAAACCCATAGAAAATGAGGAGATTTCGAAGCTACTTGTCCCGCTCCAAAACGCGGTTCTTGGGCGAGGAAAGACCGCGCAAAACCACAGCCCCCGGACGGGGAAACACCATGGCAGTGAAGGACGGAGACGGCGCAAAAAAGGCGGCGAAAAAGTGCCTAACGTAACTTCTGAAACCCATAGAAAATGAGGAGGTTTCTGAGCTACTTGTCCCGCTCCAAAACGCGGTTCTTGGGCGAGGAAAGACCGCGCAAAACCACAGCCCCCGGACGGGGAAACACCATGGCAGTGAAGGACGGAGAAGGCGCAAAAAAGGCGGCGAAAAAGTGCCTAACGTTGCTTTCTGAAACCAGAAGAAAATCTCCAGGAAAGCGCCCGGCAGGTGGCCAAAGGACATGCTGCTAGGCCGCCAAGGGCGCCATGAAGGGTTTAAAGGCAGCTCAGGGCGGCGGGGAGGGTTTAAGGGCAGCCTACTGCCTAACGTTGCTTTCTGAAACCAGAAGAAAATCTCCAGGAAAGCGCCCGGCAGGTGGCCAAAGGACATGCTGCTAGGCCGCCAAGGGCGCCATGAAGGGTTTAAAGGCAGCTCCGGGCGCCGGGGAGGGTTTAAGGGCAGCCTACTGCCTAACGTTGCTTTCTGAAACGAGAAGAAAATCTCCAGGAAAGCGCCCGGCAGGTGGCGAAAGGACATGCTGCTTGGCTGCCAAGGGCGCCATGAAGGGTTTAAAGGCAGCTCAGGGCGCCGGGGAGGGTTTAAGGGCAGCCTACTGCCTAACGTTGCTTTCTGAAACGAGAAGAAAAAGCGCCCGGCAGGTGGCCAAAGGACATGCTGCTAGGCCGCCAAGGGCGCCATGAAGGGTTTAAAGGCAGCTCAGGGCGCCGGGGAAGGTTTAAGGGCAGCCTACTGCCTAACGTTGCTTTCTGAAACCAGAAGAAAATCTCCAGGAAAGCGCCCGGCAGGTGGCCAAAGGACATGCTGCTAGGCCGCCAAGGGCGCCATGAAGGGTTTAAAGGCAGCTCAGGGCGCCGGGGAGGGTTTAAGGGCAGCCTACTGCCTAACGTTGCTTTCTGAAACCAGAAGAAAATCTCCAGGAAAGCGCCCGGCAGGTGGCCAAAGGACATGCTGCTAGGCCGCCAAGGGCGCCATGAAGGGTTTAAAGGCAGCTCAGGGCGCCGGGAAGGGTTTAAGGGCAGCCTACTGCCTAACGTTGCTTTCTGAAACGAGAAGAAAATTTCCAGGAAAGCGCCCGGCAGGTGGCCAAAGGACATGCTGCTTGTCTGCCAACGGCGCCATGAAGGGTTTAAAGGCAGCCCAGGGCGCCGGCGAGGGTTTAACGGCAGCCTACTGCCTAGCGTTGTTTTCTGAAACCAGAAGAAAATCTCCAGGGCGGCCAAAGGACATGCTATGAAGGGTTTAAAGGCAGCTCAGGGCGCCGGGGAGGGTTTAAGGGCAGCCTACTGCCTAACGTTGCTTTCTGAAACGAGAAGAAAATCTCCAGGAAAGCGCCCGGCAGGTGGCGAAAGGACATGCTGCTTGGCTGCCAAGGGCGCCATGAAGGGTTTAAAGGCAGCTCCGGGCGCCGGGGAGGGTTTAAGGGCAGCCTACTGCCTAACGTTGCTTTCTGAAACGAGAAGAAAATCTCCAGGAAAGCGCCCGGCAGGTGGCCAAAGGACATGCTGCTAGGCCGCCAAGGGCGCCATGAAGGGTTTAAAGGCAGCTCAGGGCGCCGGGGGGTTTTAAGGGCAGCCTACTGCCTAACGTTGCTTTCTGAAACCAGAAGAAAATCTCCAGGAAAGCGCCCGGCAGGTGGCCAAAGGACATGCTGCTAGGCCGCCAAGGGCGCCATGAAGGGGTTAAAGGCAGCTCAGGGCGCCGGGGAGGGTTTAAGGGCAGCCTACTGCCTAACGTTGCTTTCTGAAACCAGAAGAAAATCTCCAGGAAAGCGCCCGGCCAGTGGCCAAAGGACATGCTGCTAGGCCGCCAAGGGCGCCAGGAAGGGTTTAAAGGCAGCTCAGGGCGCCGGGGGGGGTTTAAGGGCAGCCTACTGCCTAACGTTGCTTTCTGAAACCAGAAGAAAATCTCCAGGAAAGCGCCCGGCAGGTGGCCAAAGGACATGCTGCTGGGCC